ATGAAATTATTGTAAATATTTTTTGATTGGTGGAGCTACTCTATGTATAATCAGGTATTATCGAAATTATACGAGGTAACTTAACTAAATTGAACGTTCTAATTGATTAAAAGATATACGAAAAAAATAATCAAGTCAAAACTGCTCTGGACCTGCCTTAATTACTTGGCAGCCCACAATAAAGTAAAACTAACGTGGACACCAGGACATAAAGGTATACAAGGGAATGAAAGTGATTGATGAACTCGCCAAAGAGGGATCAGAACTATCATTCACAGGACCCGAACCTGTATTTGGGATAAGCAAAAAAACCTATGCTCGACAGGCACTGAACAGGTGAAAAATCACAGGCAACAGATTAGCGCCGGATTTAAATTTTTTATGAGTGTAGGCCACTTTATTTCCACCGCCCCATGTACCTTCTAGAATAATAATTTTTCATCTGTAGTAAGGAAGGCACCAAAGTTAAATAAACGAATGAATTAGTCATTAAGAATGAGCGTAAAAAAGAAACAAGAATTACAATTTTTACGGGACTTTTTAATAGCAAAATCATGTCTATAATACCATCAAAGTTTATGGTGTTCATTATCTCTTCTTCTATCTAGAGAAGAGCTAAAGAATTCATTTTTTCTTAAAACAATGAAGACCTTTGGCAATTTTGCATGCGTTTTAAACAGGAAAAACTCTTTTCCCAAGAACAATTTGAAACCGGAGTGGAAAAAGTGCGATGCGGAGAGCTATATATCCAAATTAGGGTAAACATTAAACATATATTGATTCCTTATAAACATTGAGAGACGGTAGTGAGTTTGATCCAGGCTTCACTGCACACTCTGCAATTTTATTAGAGGGAATATGACTGTGAAAATGCCTACATTCTTAAACCAAATCGTCGTAATATAGATAAAATAGGTACAATAACAGTAGGTACCTAGGATTGATAATTTTCTATAGGGATTTAACGTATTAGTATAAAAAACCATGAGAAAACCAGTGAACTTGTTTAACTTTTATCGTCTGAAATCGAGTGAGCGGCCTCCACAGCCTATTGACAAATCCAGGACTGCAACAGATAAGAGATCACAGAATCAGTAAGCTTATGCTGAGGGAATCAAACCTACACTTAGCTGCTAAGGTACTTCTACAGCTTGCAAGGCCTCAGATATTTACCATTGTTGAATTACTAACTGGCCACTGCTTGTTGAAACAACTTCATATGATGGGATTACACAATGATCCCACCACGTGTAAGCTATTCATAGAAGAGGAGGGAACCCGATACCATGTTATTTTCGAATGTGAAGCTCTTGTTAGGCGGCGACTCAACCTTTTTGGCATAGAACCGGAAAGAACGCCCCAGGACTACTTGGTAGGAAACAGTAAAACTAACCAAAGACACAGGACTGACTATTCCAAAGATAGTACCCCAATACGGGAAAAGAAGGGAAATACAGTAGACGCAAGAAGTCGTAGTGTTTCGTACTAAATCTAAACATGGTGGATAGCTTTTGTGGTTATTTTTACCACCTCTTCGCTTATTTTTCCTCTGTAGAGCATGAAGTTACGCGGTAGAGTCAAAAATCACCCAGGCAGCACACAGTCCAATGGACGTCCACTTTAGATCCATTTGAGGGTCAGACCGTCCATATCCGCATATGAACATGCAGGTACGTCCGTTTATGATCATTAATTTGACAGCTGCATATGGATACCCAGAGCACTTCTGTTTTTGGACTTAATTTTAAGATTAGTAGCATTTTGACGTCCACTGGACATCCACCTCTGGTTATCAATTATTTAACCTACCAGATAATACCCATCTATACATACTTTCTTTTTTTTAAATTTAATTGGTCATTAAAAATTGATAAATTGAATATATTGCTTTTCATTCTATCAGCGGAAGTTTTAAATCTTATTCTATTATAACCATATCTAGAAAAAAGTTTTCAAGTGGCTCCTTGGTCGAGATCGTCTAGTGGTCGAAAGCGTAGAACGACAATGGACCTGTCGTGAGTTTAATTCCTGCTCAGGTCAAGCGATTTTGCAAAAAATAATAAATAGATAATTAATAATAAAAAAGTGTGTGGTGAGTTGCGGTTGTGTAAAAAAAATTGGGATGGGGATATGGTCTCAATGGAATATAATCCAGGAATGGACGTATTTTAAATGTCCGGTAATCAACGTCCAAATATCCAGAATTGGACGTCCACTAAATGGTCAAAAGTGTGCCATTTGTATACTTCACTGAACGTCCATTGGAAGTCGGTAGTCCAGAAAAAACTCATTTTTGGACGTCTAGACATCCAAAATTAGAATGGACGTCTAATAGACCTATTTGTAACTACTAACTAAAGATTAACTAACCAAACATTATTAATAATGCATTTATTAATTTCGCAACCCGGCATACACCATTCTCAGACAACACACCAAATCCCAGAGATATCCACAGAATATCTTTTGTGGATATCCAATATATCCACAGGATATCAGAAATATTCCGTGGATCTAATATGGATATCCAAATGTCCGTCTATATCCAGAATATAGAAAATATCCTATGGATATTTAGCAAAATATCTAATGAGTATCTTTCAGACAATACAAGAAATCCCAGAGATATCCACAGAATATATTTTGTGGATATCCAATATGGATGGATATAGAATTCAGATATTCAGCAAAATATTTTATAGGTATCTTTAGTAGAGGCACAGTTTATAGCTAAAGAATCAGTTCGCTCACTCTGCGTCGGCACTTTTGATCTCAATGTTCCAGTTTATAAACTGCGCAACTCGGATTTGTATCCCTGGCGCATACAGAATCAATTCATAACCAATTCAATATATGACAACCGCCTATATTCAAACAGCATTCTTCTGCGCATCCTGAATTTGTATCCCTGGAGGGGATATTATTTTGGAACATCGAATTGATCCGAGTGAGCGAACTGATTCTTTTAAGCTATAAACTGTGGTAGAGGTTCATAAGTAACCAATGATCAGTGTTGCCGAAACGAAAATGTAAAATTTCCCCTCACTTAATCCCAAAATTTCCCCTTTATCCATCCACGGTTTTAAAAATAACCACTTTTTCCACCAACACTAAAAAATGTTTTCTATATAACTATAATCCGGAAAAGCGGTATTTGCTACGTTTGAAATGTACCTCCTCTAGCAGAACGAGTATACTTTTTGATCACGTTACGTCAAGCAAACCATATCAATGGAGCAAACGGAGCTTGAATGTATTAAGAGAACGGTATCAAGTAAAAAAAAAGCAAAACGAGTTACTTTTCAAACGCAGCACTGGTTAACAAAAATGAAAAAAATATAACATATCAGTTGATCTACCCAGACAACACACCAAATCCCAGAGATATCCGCAGAATATCTTCTGTGGATATCCAATATGTCCACAGGATATCAGAAATATTCCGTGGATCTAATATGGATATCCAAATGTCCGTCTATATCCAGGATATAGAAGATATCCTAATGGATATTCAGCGGGTATCTTCCAGAAAATACAAGAAATCACAGAGATATCCACAGAATATATTTTGTGGATATTCAATATATCTAATATGGATATCCAACCAAATGTCCGTCTATATCCCAGGGATATAGAAGATATTCGGATATTCAGCAAAATATTTTATGGGTATCTTCAGTAGAGGTTCATAAGTAACCAATGATTATTGAATAACGTCGAAAGAAAATAGCAGAGATAAAAAATATTTTCAACACTCTGCCTTTGATTTTGCCCACTAAGAAGAAAGTCATCCTTATTAGGACTCTTCAGCAATAAATGAATAATTCTCGACTTCAGTCTCTAATGGAGTGATTAGGAGGACACACATTTCGATCGAACTCAATTACGGCGGGTCGAGCATGAGTAGATGCGATAGTGGTATCGCCATCTATACTTAGTAAGCAGAATCAAATAACATCTAGTGGATATCCACGATGGTTTGCGTTCGCGCCTAGACTTTGATATATTTAGGGTGAGATTACAGAACGTCTGCAACTTTGCAGATCTGCAAATATGGCGGCAACTATGAAAATCTGCAAATATGACTGACTTACACATGCAAGTATCAAGTTTTCGTATTCCAAATTTGGGTTTAGTGTTGTTGGGGGTAATAAACCACAATAAATATTGCTAATTTGCAAATATTTTTTGAAATACTTACATTTGTTAGGTCCGTCATATTTGCGAAGTTGCAGATGCAAAGTTGCAGACGTTCTGTAATCCCACCCTTAGTGGATGTTCATGGGATATAGAATTGACCTTAAAAAAAATTAATTTTAAATATCTTAACGGTACTATTAGCCACAATGGCGAGCACAATGGCGTAATTTTTTAATAATTTGCTATATAATTACTATTATTTATGGACATTTGCATGTCTATAAATTACAGCTCATGGATATAAAATAGATATCCACCATGGACTGGACATTCAGTGGATATTGGGATGTTCAGTAGATATCCAAAGGATTTGGTGTGCTGTCTGGGTTAATTTATTTTATTAAATTAAAAACGCTTGATTTTACCAGGAATCGAACCCACAACACTTCGGTTAACGTTCTGCGCCTTCAGCCGCCCTACGCGTTCGACCACATTTAACTAATTGCTACTAGATATGATTCTAATAGTTGAGAAACCCTGGTCTACACACACATCCGTTAAAGTATTTTGACCTCTAAAATGAGTTATTTGCTTATATTGAACTGTTGTTTGTAGAAAATATGAATCAGCTAAACATAGCTCGCGTAAATAATAAATAGAAAAGGGCCGAGAAGAGAACCTTGCGGAATATATTTTTTCTTCGGTGTCCACCTTGTAACTCCGCACTTTCGACCCCTATCTAGGCTCCTCCGTAGCAGATAAATCATACCATTGTTTATATATCACATAAACAAACTCGCAACGATTCGCGTTTTGGGTCCAGTCATCGACTCTTCTCAGTGGGCCGTGCATGCATATGGCCGTCGTCGTCGTCAGTACCATTCCACCTGTGGCACTCCGCGAACCAACACTTGACTGCCGTCGCGGCCTGCTACGTGCTACGCCAAGAGATTGTGCTTTTGCTGCGGTTGCGGCTATTGCTGGACCAGTCAGTAAGTCAGTGGTCTCTAGATCTTTCTCTTCGGCTTCGGGTCGATTCTGCTTCCTCCTCAGTGGGACATTCGTCCGATGTGAACCCATAGTTCTCTAGGTCAAGACTCGAAGAACGTTTTTTTTTCTGATTCTTTCGATTGGTTTTTCGGTTTTTTTTGTGCGTGCGTTTAAGTGGGGGTGGGCTACGTTGTTTTCTTTTGTGGAGGTGATTTATTTAGGGGTAAGTAATGTTTATTTATTAAACATATTAATTGAAATTTTCAACATGGTTTTTGACGATAACGATTTTATATTTACCAGTTTTATAATCTTTAATTAATTTTTTATTGTTAATTGTTTTAATACAATAAATTGTAAATATTCAATGAATTCATATTTAAAATGAATAAACGGTTCAATAGAAAAATGAGAAAATAAACTATCATAGCTACAATATACTTGTAAGCCTTAAAAATATACAGGGTGAAATATTTTAGGCAATAAAAGAGTTCCTATGAACATAGGTCTACAAATGCATAATAAGTGTAGCCTTAATAAGCGTAATTTTAAAAAATACTTTTTTTAAACTTTACAAAATTATTAGGCCAATCTAAAAGTTATTGTCAGGATTGGCAGGTGTACAGGTTTTAGTACCTAGATTTTTTAGGTTTTTAAAAAACCTTATTAAGTGAAAATTCTGCAATTTTAGGTTTTTTTAAGATTCATTTTAGGGAAAAATATTAAGAATTTTCAATTTTATTAAACAACTTCAGGAGAAAGGTGCAAAAATGAGTATAAGGAAATATTTTATTAAACGTTATACCACTGTAACTTCTTGATATTGATATTAATGATAGTGATAACAATTAAAAATAATAAAATTTATTTATTTTTTTTGCGGTATATGATTTTTTTAATATAATAAAACTCTATAATATAATACCACTCTATTTTTACTTTCCTATCTGTATACAGATATAAGGAAAGTATAGGAATCATGATTTTTTTCGACCTCGAGTTTTCGACGGATTTTTACGTTTTGAGGTCCCCTGAATCCGTTTTGACTATTTTCGCGATGATGTCTGTGTGTGTGTGTGTGTGTGTGTGTGTGTGTGTGTGTGTGTGTGTGTGTGTGTGTCTGTGTGTGTGTGTGTCTGTGTGTGTGTCTGTATAACGCATAACTCATGAACCGATACACAGAAAAACACCAAATTTTAAACTTAAGCTTTCTTTCAGCGTCCAATGAGCTGATTAGATTTTGGGCAGAGTCGGAACATCTGGGGGGGTACTTTATAGGTGGTCATTTTTATATTTTATGGAATATATCTGTTATTTACGTTTGGGGAAGAAAATTTTTTAAATAAAAGTTACTTCTTATTTTATTATCTATAATTTTTGTCATTTACAAAATTTTCCTAAAATGGTCCGTATTCGAGAAATTTGACAAAATGTAAAAAAATATTTTTTTTTATAAAAATTGTTCAAACAAAAGTTGTAATATAATTCTCTATAATTTTTGTTCCATAGATAATTTCTCTAAAATGGACCGTATTCGAGATATTTGAGAAAATGTGTAAATTTCGAAATTTGAAGAAAACTCAAAAACGGATAAAGAAAAAATCAATAAATTTTAAACTTAAGTTTTATTTCGACCTGACGTGAAATGATTAGATTTTGGACAAAGTCGGAACATCTGGGGGGGTACTTTATGGGAGGCCGTTTATATATTTTATGGAATATATCTGTTATTTATGTTTGAAGAAGAAAATTGTTCAAATACTTCTAATATTATTATCTATAATTTTTGCCTTATGTAAAAATTTCCTGAAATGGTCCGTATTCGAGAAATTTGACAAAATGTGCAAAATTCTGATTTTTATGAAAATTGTTGAAATAAAAGTTGTTTGCGATATCGATCTCTATAATATTTGTTCATATAGAGAAAGTAAAAATTGAAAAGTCTTTTGGTAGGTAGAGAGGGGGTAAACGTCAAACCACGTCGGGCGGCTCCGAGAATTTCACAGTAATGTTTACCTGCCAGTGTCGTTTCATAGAATAAGTAATTTTAAATTGTTATCAGCGGAACCGGACAATCGCATGTATTTATGGATTATAAATAATTATTAAACATGTATTATAATATTCAAATTATAATTTTACAAAATTTCAACAGCTATTCACAATTTATTAAACTATTTACTCGAAATTGTTGTTAACATCTATAAAATAATTTTGTACGCCAATGTATCGCGTCCACTTCGGTGAAATCCGCTGCCAACCTGTCAATTTATGTGTATAAAGTGGGAGAACTGGCAAAAGCATTTCCAACTTTTACTTCTGTTCTACATGATTTTTTTTAAATGGACCGTAATGGAAAAATTGTAGGAAAAGTGCTAAATTTAAATTTTTCAGTATTTTCATTTTCAATGAATATCTATAGAAAAATGTTTCGCGGTAGATGTATGTGGACAATGTATATATATTTAGTTTATCCTCTAAACATTTATAGAGATGCTGCAATAGGTTGTACACAATAAACGGAAAAAGCCTGTAATAACTAGATAGGAAAGTCATGTGTTGGACACATCAGATTTTTTTGCTTCTTTTTACTTTCCTATCTATATACAGATATAAGGAAAGTATAGGAATCATGATTTTTTTCGACCTCGAGTTTTCGACGGATTTTTAGGTTTTGAGGTCCCCTGAATCCGTTTTGACTATTTTCGCGATGATGTCTGTGTGTGTGTGTGTCTGTGTGTGTGTGTGTCTGTATAACGCATAACTCATGAACCGATACATAGAAAAACACCAAATTTTAAACTTAAGCTTTGTTTCAACGTCCAATGAGCTGATTAGATTTTGGGCAGAGTCGGAACATCTGGGGGGGTACTTTATATGTGGTCATTTTTATATTTTATGGAATATATCTGTTATTTACGTTTGGAAAAGAAAATTCTTCAAATAAAAGTTACTTCTAATATAATTATCTATAATTTTTGTTTTATGCAAAATTTTTCTAAAATGGTCCGTATTCGAGAAATTTGACAAAATGTAAAAAAAATAATTTTTTATAAAAATTGTTCAAATAAAAGTTGTTTGCAATATAATTCTCTATAATTTTTATTCTATACATAATTTCTCTAAAATGGACCGTATTCGAGATATTTGAGAAAATGTGTAAATTTCGAATTTTGAAGAAAACTCAAAAACGGATAAAGAAAAAAACATTAAATTCTAAACTTAAGGATTATTTCGGCCTGACGTGAAATGATTAGATTTTGGACAAAGTCGGAACATCTGGGGGGTACTTTATGGGAGGCCGTTTTTATATTTTATGGAATATATCTGTTATTAATGTTTGGAGAAAAAAATTGTTCAAATAAAAGTTACTTCTAATATTATTATCTATAATTTTTGTTTTATGTAAAAATTTCCTGAAATGGTCCGTATTCGAGAAATTTGACAAAATGTGCAAAATTCTGATTTTTATGAAAGTTTTTGAAATAAAAGTTGTTTGCGATATCGATCTCTATAATTTTTGTTTATACATGATTTTTCTAAAATGGACCGTAATGAAAAAATTGTAGGAAATTTAAATTTTTCAGTATTTTCGTTTTCCATGAATATCTATAGAAAAATGTTTCGAGGTAGATGTATGTGGACAATGTATATATTTAGTTTATCCTCTAAACATTTATAGAGATGCTGCAATAGGTTGTACAAAATAACCGGAAAAGCCTATAATAACTAGATAGGAAAGTCATGTGTTGGACACATCAGATTTTTTTGTTTAACTTTATTAAACTTTTGACATTTTCGAACTAAAAACTTATAAAAACTCAAAAAAACAAACTTAAAAACCTACTTGTATATTTTTTAATTCATAAGTTTTGTCCAACCCTAATTATTGTAAGGGTTTGGCGGTTGTTCCTTTAATAACTTATTTAAGATTGGTTTTTATCTCATTTTAGAGAAATTTATCAAAAACTACGCATTTTTTTACACAAAAGTATACCTACTTGTTGCAAATAGCTTGGAGCAATAATTTTCAGAAAATTAAAAGGTTCCCATACAGCATAAAAAAGATTTCGGAAATATTTCAAAAATGTTTCATTGAAATATTTGAAATGTGTATAAATATTACGAAACGTCTCAGAAATATTTCTGAAATGTGCCTGAAACGTTAAAAAGTCCTGTAAATATATTTCACAGTAATATTTCTGAAATAAAAATTTGAAATCTTTCAGAACTATTACATAGTAATATTTCAGAAAGGTATTCTAGTTTTTTTTATAAATATTATGAAACGTATAAACGTTTCTAAAATATTATTAGACTAAAAGAAAGATATTTAAAAATATACATGTTTATTTAAAATACACAAAAAAACATTGATTCTTAAACAAATAAATAAATATTTTTCTAATTTTGACATATTAAGGACATTTTTTTACACGCAGCAAGTGTCAAAATGATCTACTTTACGGAACCAGTAGCATAATGTTGAAAATTATGAAATTCATAACGTCACCAGTTGCGAAAAAAAGCGAATAAAAATAAACCTTTTTTGTTTTTAAAATCAATAATATACATTATTACTCGCATTATTATTGAAAGTTTATATCAAAAAAGAGCAGGTTGACTTATAAAAATAGAATTTGGTTAAACTTACAACCTAGTAATAATGTTGATTTGGTCCTTATTTTTCAGTCCAAATAAGCACAATAGTAGTTTGTACAACAAGAGTTAATATGATGGCCATATCGCAAGAAATTTGAGCACGACGCCGTAGACGGACTGCTCAATGGTCTGAATGCGACGTGGACAATCCGCTCGAGTTGTACAGAATATTTTTTCTACGACCCACGAACGAAAATTTACAAATAATAAAATAGTTTAGGTTATTAAGGCAAAATAGCTAATTTTTAAATAATTTAAGTATGACATTTAATAATTTTTAAAATTAAATAAACGAAAAAAAAAAGAAAAAAGTTCATTTCGTTTTCTCCATCCGAGAATCGAACTCGAGTCTTCCGTGTGGAGAGCAAGAACGCTGATCACAGCAAGGGCGGCTCCAAGACAATTTTTCGGAGGGGGGGCAATATTTTTTTGAATAAAAGGCTCATAAATCGTCCCTTGGACCGCAAGACCATCTATTATTTTATTTTTGTTGCTTTAATTCTCGTAATTAAATTGACTTCATAGGGGTAGTATTATTTTAACAAATTATTTATAATTATA